TAAGATTATGGTGCTGTATGTTGTGTTGCCAAGGAAGGCGATGGAATTGAAAAGCTTGGGGAAAGACCGTGTCTCTCGCGTCACGAGTTAGGGATGAGCGCATGCTGTACAAGAATGTGGAAGAACGTAAATACACGACAAAGGTAGCGCTGACATTGTCTATCATGTGAAATATGTCCCTTCTATTTAATTCTTTGGAGGGGTCCTAGTATTTGTCGTCTTTCCCGCCCAGTCCTGTACCAATCCGGTAACCTCCTCCTCCACGCCCAGCAATACCGGCAAGATTTCGCCGGCTTTTCCCTGGAATGCCAGCCTGCAAATATTGGAATGATCCGTCGGGTCCAAGTTAACTTCCACCACAGGCTTCCCTGCCTCTGCGACCAAGGGGGCGAAAGATGCCGCAGGGTAGACGACGGAGCTGGTGCCCACCACCAGGAGAAGGTCGCACGCATTCAAAAGCTCGTAGGCGCCCGTAAGGACCCGAGGGTCCAGCCCTTCGTTGAACCATACTACTGCAGGCCTCAATAGCTTCTGTTCGTTCCTGGTGTGCGGGAGTGCCGACGTTGGAATGTCCGAGCTGCGGATGTGGGGGTCGGGCTGACATTTCCCGGCGAAGCAGGGCGCCACAGGCATCGACCGGTCTTCCCAAACTTTTACCCCATCTTCGACGAAGCCGGGTTCGTCAACCGCCTTGAGAAGCCATAAAGATCCATGAAGTTCAACAACGTCCGTGCTCCCGGCGGCTTGGTGCAATCGATCAATGTTTTGCGTGATGACATCCATTCGCTTCCCTTGCAACGTCAATTTCCGTTGAAGAGCGGCTAAGGCAAAATGTCCGACATTGGGCTGGCACTTTGCTACCACTTCGCGACGGTAATGATAAAATTCCCAAACGAGTGAAGGGTTCTTCCGAAACGCGTCGGGAGTCGCCAATTCTTGCGCCTCGTATGTCCGCCATAGCCCTCCATCGCCGCGAAATGTAGGTATACCACTCTCCGCACTTATGCCGGCTCCTGTTAGTATTACGATATGCCTGGCTGAGGCCAGCAGGTTTTGGAATGCAGCGACTCCTTTCATGTGGTCAGCTAACTTTTCACCATTCTTTTGGACGGAGAGGATGCCTGAGCTTTGCATCCAAGCCCTAATAAAGCTAGTAGCGCAGCTTGTGGAGGAACGTTCTCCGGAATGATGAATTGTGAATACCACGGCAGACTTTTAACATGAGAAGTATCTGCAGTGTGGGTAAAAAATGGCGTGAAGTTAGGATCAAACTTTCAGTCGGTGGAAAGGAGCTGAAGATGCGGATGCCCTAGTGACGCTCCACAGTTCTCAACCGCTCTAAACGGAAATTTGAAAAGTCTGAAAAGCACGCTTAAAAATACTGCGCCTGGTTGGACAACTTGTTCAGTTGACGGGTGTTGACCGCATGGATAAGGCATGCAAACATATATTTACTTTAAATTTTGATTTCAAAGGTGCCTTTTCATGCATCGATGACTCCTCAGACAAACTGATCCTGTCTTCAAATGGAAGCAATCGTTTGCCCACTGGGGATGTATGTGATCAACGACGGCCTTCCCAGCGCTTCCTTTATAAAGATGTATAAAAGTGAAAACACACAAAAAATTGCCGCCTTGTAAATCTTTAAGATAAGGTCATGTAGATACCTATGGGCGCTTTTAATGCCTCTAACGACCTCAATTTGTCGAACTGATTTCACCTCAATGCTTAGTTCAGACTACTCTTCCGATCGATCTAATTTCTCATGTAATCTAGGGCAATCATGGAGGACATAGAGCCGCATACAACTACAGTACACGCGGTATTGTTTATCTTTGTTGTAGCTTACGCGCTACTACTCAGAGAAATCATAAAAGCCGTGGATTTTGCGGTAAAGATGATTGCACTGAAGCTGGTACGTCAATGCCCTACGCCATACCCTTTAATGCATAAACATTCATCAGAAGATTTAATTGCCCTTTGTTTCTTGTCTGAAGGACCCTTTTTCGGAGGCATCATTGGCGTTCGCGAAGCAGCTGCAAGTGCCGCGTTTGCAACCGCAGCAGCTACAGCAGGAAGAGAAGCCCTCTCCGTCGCATCCTGTGAAGACCAGGCCCAAACTCTCAACGAGGATAGTGCTTCCTGAGAGGTGCCCCTCCGCGATCGTTCAGAAATGTAGAAGAAAGAAGAGCACTGTCAAGATTCCGCATCAGCGTGCTTGTAAGGTATCGTCGGTGCGTCAAGTGCGCAAAGACATAATAAGTAAGTCTCGTCCACGTGCTCCGAAAGTGGAAGCGGCGACAGAAAAGGCTGTAGACCGCGGGATTCCTCTTCAGAAACAAGAAGACTTACCCAAGATGCCTGTTAGCAAGAAAACCTTGCACATGATTGCCTTGCTTTTGGACGACGTCTATGGCCGGGAATACGGCTCCGCGGTCGTGCGATCTTTGCCCGCTGGTCTCAAATATCATTGCTGGCTTTTGAAGTTTACCAAGGGTCTCATTAAGGCTGAGGACAAACGCAGTCAAGCCTTAGACGGTAAGCTGCAAGCTAAGAAAGGGAAAGGGACCCCGCGCGCTCGATTTGTGGTGAGCACTCCTCGATTTTCAAGCTCTCTTCGGCTCGATCTCTCCCCTCGACCGGATACAACGCTTCGAGCTCCCAATACTCCCACCATAAAGCCGCGCTTCCGACAACCCAGCTCCCGAGAACGCCTGCGATATTGGTACTACTACCTGTGTTTGCATAAGATGGAAGGGAAATACGCGGCCATGTTGATGGATGCACAGGAAGAGCCCACCAAGCTGGTTCCTAGTGCCAAGAAATCGAGCGAGCCTGCGCAAGCAATGGTAACGGGAGCCGGCAGCTCCTGTTCGTCCCCGGTTCCAATGTCATCTCGATTTCAGTGCACCACCCCACTCACAGTGGAAAATTTCACTCCGTGTGAAAGCACCGCCACCAGAAGCAGCGAGAACAAGAATGAGCCTATTAACAAGGAGGGCAGGGAGGGCCATTACACCAAGCACAGCAGTGCCGACACTACTTCGAACAACAGGAACACCAACAACAACTATCACAGCAACCAAAGCGACAGCAGCAACTCGAGCCACAATATACTTCAACCCAGCAACAGCCATTGCATCGGTGGGGAAAGCGTGCACGACCGTAATGGAGAAAGAAGGAGCACCCCTGCGTACTGCAAGGGATCGGGAGCTCTCAACAGCTACGCACAGCTACGCTGGCAAAGAGACGCACTGCAAGGCCGTGGCCAGATCCCACGCTATATGCAGCCGCTGAACCGCGAGTGAGGTGAAAGCATGATATACGGGTAATGGAGGTAAAGGAGGAGGGAAGCTAATTTCCAGAGGAATTTTAAAGTGAATTTTACGTCCTCGATATTTCATAATATGAAACGTAAGGATCATTGATGTCAATTTAAGAACATGTGTCGGAGCAGCCCCTTTACGGGCTTGACGTGCGGTGAAAAATAACAAAACACTAAGATTAAAGTCAGCGGAAACACATTTTTTTGATTTCTGGAGGATAACTCTCCCTTTTTCTGAATTTTCTCTCTGGACCCCAGGCTATTTTCACCGCGGTAAGAAGCGATGCACGGAGGGGTGCTTGTCGTTGATTTTGATGGCGTCTCGTACATAACGCGTATTTCGACAGCCCAGCAGGACCGTGCTGACCCCAGCATGCTCCAGGAGAAATTCGATGGCAAATTCCTGCAACGATTTTTCCGCAGGGATGGGACCAAAACCTAATGTTTTTTCAATTTCTTCCCGGGCGTGGATTCCGCTCAAATAGCTGACAAGGCGCTCACAGGCACGCAAGTATTCCTGCGCCAGCCTCATGCCTTCCGCGTCGAAGGTCTTGTCGGGCCGAGCCGTCGCCTCCAGGCCGCGCCGAAGCATGGGCATGACCATCCGGGAGGAGATGCCTTCCCAAGCAAGGACACTATGGAGGTCTTTCTGGGCCAACGCGGCGTCGATCCCTTCCACTTCCTCTTGGAACAGAGTGTAGCCATCCTTTTCGTGGCCCGACAAAGCCGTCTTTTGCGCGTCGATGTATTGGAGCAGGGCATCCCTTGCGTGGTGGTACGCAGGACGAGAATCCGGGTACTCCGCAAGACGGAGGCTCATTCGGTCATCGAAGGCGTTCAACGGCCGGTTAATCAGGACCGTTAAAGACGTGCGCGCCGCCCACTGCACCGCACGGTGGAGCCCCTCCTGTTCGAGCAAATTGGCAGGGAGCTGGATGGTGCTAAAATGGTGAACCTGGGCCTCTGGAGACACGGCCTTGGCCGCTTCCATCGCCATGGCGGCCAAATGGTCGTAGCGGAGGAAGTGCGGGTGCTCGGGAGGCAAGGAGAAGGAGTTGGAGGAGATCCCGTAGCTCCGAATCCGTCCCTGTCCCGAGGCGATCTCCCCTTCCAGCGCCTTAAAGGCCTCCAAGAGACGCCGGTCCATTTCGTCGCGGTGTGTCTGGAGGTCCTCGGCGCTGATGGCACCTGCTTGGGCCGGGACGTTGTGGGTCAGGTAATACTCTGGGTTGTGGAGGAGGAAGACGTCCAAGGAGGGCATTCCCAAGCGGGCCAAGGACCGGCCGAGCTGGTCTTGGATAAAGGCTGGGTGGATGCAGTGCCCGAGATAGGAGGCGACCTCCACCGTGTCGGGGGTGCGCACGGTGCCGGCTAGGTAACGATCCATGTTCTGACCTTGGATATATCCTACCTTGCTGACAAGCAGAATATCCTCCCGTTTAAGTTTTCCTTCCTGCATTAGCTCCCTTACCACCTGGCCAATGCATTCCTCTGCCTCGCCATTACCATAGTTGGCGGAAGTGTCGATGACGTTGATACCGTGCAGCAGAGCTTCCCGCAATGACTCTGCCTGCTCCGCATTATTCAAGCCGATGCGGTAGGTGCCATAGCCGATCCGAGAAATTGGCAAACCGCAACCGGCCATGACAGGATCTGCGGAATTGCCCGCAGGCATCACAGCGCTTGCCGTACAGGTGTTAATGTTGGCGCGAGACTTCGAAGATCCCTGATTATGCCTGGCTGCTTGTTGTGAGCCCTGGCAGCTATGTGATGGCGGGTTTACAAATCCAAGATCACTTGACGGGTCCGTGTTCGTGCCAAAAGCAATGGACGTGTCCAAACCAAAAAGAAAGGCGTGAAGCAGCAAAAGCAGCGGGATGAATCGGGAAAAAAAGGGCATTCGTTGTCTTCTTGATGCCTGTCGTGAAGGGGATTAAATAGGACCGATGGGCCACTGCAGAGCCAGGGCTCTACCCAAAAAAACCCTCAAGCTCGAGCCCTTTCGTGATTGGACGCACAAGCACGTCCCTTTAAACCATGCACCACCACGTCGACCATTGTGCATCCAAATTCAACCGCGTAACAAGCGTTTTGACCCTGTGATCCACCCGGCTTAGAAAATGTGACAATGCCCAAGGAGAGACTCTAGCGACTCGTGGGCGACGCCGTGTCCTCCTAGCCCAGCCAGAAATACACACTGCCACTGACCGGCTTATGAGGCGACCATACGACGGGAACACCCTTGGAAAAGCAAGTCGTGAGAACAAACTGGCTACGCAGACCTTGTCCTTGGGGTGTGTTTCGTTGTCTTGTTATCAATGCATTTCTTTATGCCTGCAGCTGCCAGCCGCAAGGAGCTCCGAGATCCGTGCTTACCCACCGCATACTTCCAATTTTCCAACTTAGGTCAGGCTGAACCGCACGTTCCAAGACAAGAGGCCGACACAAGTTGTTGGAAGAACGTGTCGTGATCAAGCGCTGGGGGCCGCCTGAGTTCGCGTCATGCCTCCCAAAAAAAAGGACAGTGAGGAGGAGGTGGATAGATTGACGCGAATTGCCATGTACGTGCCCTGACCTGGAAGGAGGTTTTTGATCCACAAACTCGCTACGGAGTTTGTTTGTAGGCATTTCTGTCCTCCCTATGGCAATATAAGGCGGTCTGGGAAATGTGCCATGGTTTCTGCATCCTTGTCCGGAGGAATTTAGCGCAATTATAAGGGTGCCTCTGTTCCTCCCCCTCCTTCCGCCTGCCCTTTTCTCCCTTTCTCATCACACCGTGCTTGTAAGAAACAATAATGTCCCCTCTTTCTACCCAGCGTGAACAAGGACAAGTGCAAACCGAAAAAATGCCGCCAAGAATGCAAGCGCAATTGTCCTGTAGTGCGCCAAGGCAAGTTATGCATTGAGGTGACCCCTACCAGTAAAATCGCCTTCCTTTCCGAAGAGCTGTGCATCGGCTGTGGCATTTGCGTGAAGAAATGTCCCTTCGAGGCGATCAACATCATCAACCTCCCCAAAAGCCTGGAAGGATCCCAGACGCATCGGTATGGCCCCAATTCCTTTAAGCTCCATCGGTTGCCGATGCCGCGACCCGGGCAGGTCTTGGGACTTGTGGGTCAGAACGGCACGGGCAAGAGCACTGCCTTGAAAATTTTGGCGGGAAAGCTCAAGCCGAACTTGGGTCGCTTTGACAATCCCCCTGACTGGACGGAAGTTTTGGCCTATTTCAGGTGGGAGGGAGTGAAGGGTTCTTCCGAAACGCGTCGGGAGTCGCCAA